TATATATATATATATATATATGTGTATTGACTAGTCAAAAAGCAAGGTTTTGCCTCTTTCAATAATTATAACTTTAGCTTTTTTTTAAAAAAAAGAGCTCCTTTACTCTCATGCAGAAGTCAACATGCAGCCCGGGCTAGGTCAAAGTAATCAAGTAGCTTATGCTATTTTATTTTATCAATTAAATTGCTTTAATTTATTATTTCTATTTAAATTAATATTAATTCTGGAGTCTGGAGGTTGGACTAAGCTTGTATCAGACAAGCCCTAACATCAGCTTATTCCATCCTCTGCCTTGGATGATCAATTCGATTGATCATATAATATATTTATATATATATAAGACTAACATATTAAAAACAAAAGAAATGTAACCTAACCACTTGAGATATATCCTTTAATTAATTATATGAGTTTTAACTTATCAACATTTAAATGTTATTTGATCGACCAATACTGACTTTCTATTAAATAAATTGATTTAATTTCCAAATTATGCAGCAGCACAAACCCCAAAGCAGAAGATAATACTCTCATATACACATTTACAATAATATAATTTAAATTATTATTTAGTTACTTTAAAAAACATGACGTGATATTAATTAAAAAACTCTTGTCGATCATATGCAGTGAGCCTTGAACTTGCATTAGCGTTATTTTGGACAAAAATTGAGGTCTGAACATGATGAAACATATAATAATAAATGCATTTTATTTGACGTTAAATTTGTAAGAAATGTAAAATTAAATATTAAAAATATATATTTAATTTTTATACTTATATTATATAGTCCATTTTATAATAAATATTATATTTATTTATAGTATTTGTCGTATAAATAATATATAGCATCTTGCCCTCTCATGCAAGCAGGCCAGCAATTCCATGAGAGGTGTAGCCGGTTTATATTGTGGCAAGGACGATTCATCAAAATTTTTACGAGATACCTTGACCTAGTAATAATGATGATTATGTTAGAGTTCATAGTTTTGTGGTGGTTGTTGAATCCTTTTATGATGATATATTCCTATAATATTTGTTGGTTATCATGCCCAAATTCTAATAGCATTGAAAAAAAATTAGAGAAAAAAAAATGTACGTCTCTGCCCCCTGGAAAGGAGAGCCCTCCTTCTCCTCGTTCCCCTCTTTAAAAGTTTAATATATATCTATAAGTCTTGGTTCTTTGTCATAATATACAATTTGATAGAAAATAATAATATATAAAGGTACATAACATTATATCATATCGTACTTGTCATGCAATTTGATATCATATCATTTCATATGGTTGAACTTAACAGTTTGACTACTCGGCATGTGAACTTTGCAACTCGACAGGTTGACAGATAAGTTTGGCAGTTCAACAGATTAGCAATTTGACATGCGAACTTTTTAAGTGGGCTTGACAACTTGACATGTGAGCCTGACAACTTTACAGATTGATATGTGAGTTTGACGACTTGGCGGCTTGAAGATGAGCTGAGAAGCTTGACAGCTTGTCAAATTGTTTTAGCGTATTAGTTTCTCGGTTATCTTTTTTCTTAATTTTATATAAATATATATATATATATATATATAAATAAAAAATAAAGAAAGATGTAACACTACATTGCTCGTCTCTATAAGACTAAGCGTATACGTTATTTATGAAAAAAAATAATTCATTGATACAAATTAAAATTGTTTTAATAAAAATATGAGTGGAATTTTTCATTAACTTTGGCCACACCTGCAAAATTCCATCATCTGGGCATTATGGCTCACCTAGAGAGATTTTATAGTTAACTCAATTATCTCATAAGAAGAGTTCCTCAAATATTACTAGTAAAAAAAAAAATTTTGTCCTCTTTTCTATATGGCTAGACAGACTATTTTTATAATATAACTTAATTATAAATGAATTAAAGTGTTTTCATCAAATTTGTACTAATCTTTCGTATGTGGACTCTTTGGCTACGTCTATATGAAGTAATCACTATAATATTTCAATTTTATCTAGAGCGAGATGTTGTGGTCTTCAATTCCTAAGTTAACTGATTCCATCCATTGCATTTGACTAATGAATATCACTTGAAATCCAAAATATCATAATTTTGTTATTCGAAATGCTTGTAACATATCAACCAATCCATTCATAATTATGGCGGACTATTGCATGCTGGGAGATTGATTCCTGAATATTATGCAAGAGTTACCTTCTAGTAAATACTATTTTTTTTTATTTTTTAGGCATGAAAGTATTATTTACTATTAAAAGTTAATAATTATAATTATTTTATATGATATTAAAATTTTAAGTGTTATTTATCTTATTATAAAAAAATGGTATATATTAAAAAAAATAAAATCCAAACTGCAGCTGCTAAGCTACTCGTTTTCACCGCGTCCACCCAAAATGCCTTCGAACATCACGCCTCCTCTTCAAAATATAAACCTCATTGCGCTCTTCTTCCCTTGCCGCCCACTCCCAATAAATAATGAACACACAATCGCTCTGTCTTGTCTAATGGTCGTCCCGAAGAACCCCCCCCCCCCCCCCCCCCCCCCCCCCCCCCCGCCGAGAACACCACTCAGAGATCCACCATCGGAATTCTCGCCTTTGAATCCGCCACCACGATGTCTCGACTCGTCTCCCTCCACCACTCCCTTTCTGAACCTTCCCTCCGTCTCCTCCGCTCCCACATCATGCGTTCCCGTGGCATCGCCTACCTCACCTCCACCGACCAACACTTCCTCTTCCGCCTCGTCTACTCCGACCTCCTCTCCTACCTCGACTCCTCCGCCTCCGCTGTCTCTCGTCTCTCCTCCCGCTGCCGCTCCCGCTCCCGTCAAAACTTTTCCCTCACCTACGCCAACCTCAAATCCGGCCGCATGATCCCCTTCGCTCACTCATCCCCCAAACGAGTAAACCGCAGAGTAAAGCAGATGGAGAAAAACATCACCTTGGTTGCCAGACTCTTGGAAGAGATGGAGATACTCGAGAACATGGCGAAAAAGAAACCGTCCTTTCCGTCGGAGCTTAAATCGCAAAAGAAGAAGGTTGCGAGGATAAAGGAGGAGTCTTTATGGAACAAGACGTTTGATGAAGTTGTATCACTCATGTCCCGAGCTATAATAGCTATCTTCACCCGCATCTGCGTCGTCTTTGGTCCATTCGTCAACGACCTCCCCCCAGTCATCGTCAACGATGGCCGCTTGATCAGTTTCAACCCCTTCAGCTCAAAATGCCGAATCTATCCCCGGCTCACTGGCCGCCAACATGCGTCCGGCCCGATGGAGCGCTCTCGCTCTCCGCCCAAGGATGTCGCACTTCGAAACTCATGTCCGATTATTGGCAGGGGAAGAGAAACAGAGCGGAAGATTATAAACACGGTGGGGCGGGCCGGGCTGGCTACGCTGTACGCGAACGTGGTTTTGACGGCGGAAAGATTGCTAAGAATGAGGTGCGGAGAAGAGGAGGCGGGCGGGGAGGGGGCGATGAGGGACGAGATTTACCGGCAGCTGCCGGTGAATATGCAGGGGATGGTGAGGGGGAAGCTGATTGAAAAGTGGAGAGAACGGGGGTTGGCTGACTGGGAGATGGCAAAGGGCTGGAAGGAAGCGGTGGAGAGAATACTCAGGTGGCTGGGTCCCGTGGCTAGGGACACGGTGACATGGGAGGAGGATAAGACGTTGGACCAGCGCCGGCGCTTGGATGTGAAGCCGCGAGTGCTAGCGATACAGACATTAGAGTTTTCTGATAAGGAGAAGACGGAAGCAGCGATTGTGGAGGTGTTGGTTGGGATTACTTGTATGTGTTGGTATGATGGCCGGACGGCGCTCGGTGGCGGCAGCGCAATAGGAAGATGACAGGGGATGTAAAGTAGATGTTTTTAGTTGGAGGGGGTGAAGATTCCTTCAGAAGGCGGTATTGTTTCAATTCACACAGCGGGGGCTTGCGTCAGCAGGAGATATTGTTTAAATTAACAAAGCAGGGGATTGAGAATTGTGATCCTGCAAATCGAAGAATCTTGCAGTAGCTTAAGGGAGTTAATTTTCTTTTCTTTTTTATTTTCTTATTTGGATTTACTTGGAGGGAAAATGAAGAGATGATTGCTTCCTTTTTTAAAGCATCACATAAAGTGATTTTTTGTAAAATTCGCATTTTTTATAATTAATTAATAAATTAAGTTTTTATTTTTATCATGTTTATTAACTTGGATATATTGGATTTGTTATTGTACCAGGAAAATTTATAGTTACATGCTCTGAGCTCATAATTAACTCATTTACTGTAGCAATATATATATATATTTTAAATTTTATCATGCAGCAAAATTCCTCTATAAAGCATAATTTAATAAAATAGTCATCAACCTACCAAATAATCCTCACATTTAAAATCCATGAAAACTAAAATTTAAAAATAGACATATATGTACGTCTATACAAAAATTACGAAACAATAGGTATATGTACGTCTATATGAATTTCAAGGAGATCCAACAAATAAAAAATAAAGGTGTATTGTTAAAGAGACCCCACTAGTAAAAGACTAAAGGTCTATTAGTAAAATATCCAAGGACTTACTTGGCCCAGTATAACCCCACTGAATTGGGGCTAGAATCAACCAAATGCAGGCCATCCAAACTAAGGAGCAAGGCCAATCAAGAAAAACACAGGCATCAACCTGTCTCTTGCCACAACTTGACTTAAAAGAAAAGTCCAGCATATGCGACCAAATTTAGTCTAGTCTTGCTCTACTGACAGAAGTCCCTTATTGAGAGATCAATAGTCGACAACTAAGCTAGAATAACCAACGGGTGCAATTAAGCTGATCGAGTCAGGCCTTGCTGACCTGAAGACCATTAAAGGCCAACTGACAATCCCCAATTTACCATAGTCAAATGAACGGTCTTGTTGAACCATGACTGACTAATTTCAATCGAACGAGTCACATGAGAGCTGAACTGAAGGCCTATACATGTAAAATATCTGAAATATCTTGTAACACCAATTAAAGTAGAGGTAGACATGTAATTTGATATATTGTACCCTTTTATAAATATAGAGATTATTTCATTGGAAAGAGTTAATAAAGAATTGATTTTTCTTTTCATTATTGTGCACGCTCCCACCTCTCTCTCTCTATTTGTTGTCATACGCTATATTCTTTGGGTGTGATTCACAAACAAACTCGGATTCACATGTATAATATATTTAAAGACCTTAGTTTAATTTGAGAATCATCTAATTTAAATTTTAATTGATATGTCATATATTATACTTATTTTGAACTGAATTTAAATTTAAGAACCGTTTAAGGTGGTTGTGTAAAGATGATTATAAAGCTACCATGTGCAAATAGCTTTTAAGAATACCTTTTTAGGAATTATAAATATTTTATTTTTGCAAAAAAATCATACAAAATTTTTTTAGATATCTAATTACTAAAAAAAATCCATTACAATTTATTTTAAAAAAATTGCAAATTTTTTTTTTTCAAAATTACTTCAACTGCCAATTTCAATAATTTTGTTTTATTTTAGTATTTTTTTTCATTGAAAAAAACAATTAGGATTTTAGGACTGAGTAAAAGGCGGAAGGAAGGTCATAAACACTATTTGGGTGAGCTAATAATACTTTTATTTTGCCCCATAAAAATAATAATTTTGGCTTTTGGTGATATTATGATTAGGAATTAGCTATGGTTGGTCACTGAAAACAGTTATGTGTCAGATTCTGATTGGCAGGTAGGAAATTGTAAGAGAAAATAAAGGAATTGAAAATAAAATTGATAAAAGAATTTTATTAATCCTAAATTGAGTTATTTATTTATTTTTTAATGAGTAGATAATATATGAGTAGCTGTGATATATTTAGTTTTTTTTTTCATTTTTTAACATTCAAAAGAATTTCATTTTTGCCCGAATCAGGAAGATGAAATGCAAATAAATAAAACTAATCCTGTTTTTTTTATGCGAAAAGTTTTTAATAAATAATTAAAATAAGGGGCATTTACATACATAACACTTAACATTTACATACATAACACTTACATACATAACACTTAATTCTTATGTATTTGCATATCTCACATCTAAACTTTCATTGCTACATTAAAGATAGTATTGATTATCACTTTTTGATAATTAAATCTTACTTTTCATATATTGATAAAATGTTGTGCTTGTAAATATGAAAATTTAAACGTGAGATATGTAAATTCACAAGAATTGCATGCTATATATGTAAATTTCTCTTAAAATAGATAATGTCATGTTGGTATTGGGGTATCATTTGATGAGCAAAGTTTCTTTTAGGCATAATTACATACAATACAACGCACCAGAAATATTACTATTTAAAACTCAAGCATTCAGGCGATTTTTTGAACTATATAAAATTTATATATTTAGATCAAATTATTCTGAATTTGATAAAAAATTAAAAATACAACACACCAGAAATGTTGGTCGGTGTTTTATCATGACCTTTGATATTTGAATGACAATTTCAAAAAAGGATGAGAGAGAGTGCTTGATTTAGGATATGTCATCAATAAATCCATAATCTAGCACAAATCTCAAGAAAATCTTTTGAGCATAAAAGATTCAAGCTTTAATCAAAATTTATCTAGAGCTCAGATCTCAACAAACTTATAGTAAAAATGACCAGTTCGACGAGGCGGACTAAATGGTATCAAAATCAGTCAAAGTCAAGCTAAATAAAGTTCAGATCAAGCCATTAAACCACTTTTGAAAGTTTTTTGAACATATTTAGAAGCTCAAATGAATATCAAATCTAGCGAGCTTAAAATTGAATCAAGCGTCTCGGTAAAACTAATACAACAAGCGCAAGATCACTCAATTCCGACACATTAGAGTACTCAAATATACATCAAATGTTGTTTGATCAAACGAAGCTCCCCGGACAATCAGATCAAAGTGACTCATATTCCTGCAATAATTGCACTCGGAACTCTATAATTAGACTTCTATCCCTCTCATGAGGGGAGAGAAGTTCGAGATATGAGGAAGAGTTTGAAGGGAAAGTGCTGAAGTCCAGCGACCACCACCGCTTACTACTGCCGATTGTCGTTGACCATTGTCAACCATCGCCGACCACCACCGAACTCTGTCGACCAACACTGACAATCGTCAAACACCATCAATCTCCGTTACTACCGTCGAACATTATCAATTACTGCCAATCTTCGTCGACCACCGCCGAACGTCATCAATCACCACCAGACGCCAACCACAATCGACCACCACTGACGGCATGTTGTCATTTGCTATGGTCAACGTCTGGCCATAACAAAAAATTCATCAGCACATCGACATTATAACTTGAGAAACATAATAACCCGTTTCTACATGTGAGACAAAATAGTTTCAACTTTAAATACCTTTCTCTAATGAAACTCTTCAGCTAGGTCAATCCCGTTGTTTTTCTCTTTTCGGGGTTTTCACATAAAAATTTATTGCGTCATTATTAGTTATTTTTTTTTCATCTGAGTGTATGTTGAATTGTCATATAATGTTAAGATGATAATCTATTACTCTATTATTGTGAATCTTCAGATCAATTTATAAATTAAAATGTTTTGAACGTCCTATACGCAATCACCCCTTTCTCTTAACAGAGATACTCCCGCTGAAAAAGGCAAAATAATTTTTCTTATAAAAAAATTATAAAACACCTGAAAACATGCTCGTTGATACACATTTACTTCTAAAAGCAGCGTACATGAAACATTATTATTATTTTTTTATTTTTTATTTTATTAATAAAACCACTAACATTTCATGGTCAAACAAGCTGTACCTTCAAAATGTGAAAGCAGAGCAGCCCAAATGTCAAGAATAGTGCGCCGGCTAGAGAATTGTGACAAATCAATTTCACATTTGTCTGCAATTCTATTAATAATTTAATTGAAAATAATAGTATTTATTTTAATCTGAAAAGAAAACTTGGTACATTCCACCAATGATAAAAGAGAGAGGTTTGAATTTTTCTTTTTGTTTTTTTTTTTATTTTTTTTATGGGGGCAATAAATGGTTGAACCGTCAAACTTTGAAACTATGGTTTATTTCAACATAAATTAAATTATGATGTAGCTTAGCCATGCATTTATTTGGATTGAAGTCATCCACACATTTGAATGTTTGAAGGGTCATTTACTAACCAATTGTTGATGCAACTTGCATCAATTTTGACTTTTGGTTATGAAGGCCACCGATCCGAGAGGGAAAGTGTTCTTATGCATCAAGAGTCTTTGTAGGATACCAAAATCAATGGTTGCCTTGGAAATCAATGTTTGTCATCAAATGGAGCCGCGAAGCTCCAGATAGATCCCTCAATAACCATTACCGACAACGTTGATTAAGATTGAAGCCTAGAGCGATTTTTAGATCTTGAATTTTCTGCTTTCTTCGTCGAAATGGGAGAGGAAGACCGATTTTTAGGTGATTAAGCATATGAGAATTTTGTGAATAAGAAAGATTCTTATCAATGTATTTCTGAACACAAAGCAATAAGATAATTATATATATATAT